TATTCAATACATTTAAAACATGTCTACATTAATAATATAAATTCGACACAAATACCCACATTCAATACCACAGCAGTGTTTCTCCTGTTTGTCAGCGCTGTTTCATCTGGCTGTAAACAGAGTTATTTGTGTTCTTCACTGAATGCAAGCGCTTCACACTGGATCTCACAGCACCGTTTGATCGAGACTCATCAGCGAGTGAACACATCTGCTCTAGTGAAGCTCGCGCCGCACCCCCATTTGAACTTTGATCCGAGTGGATAAACGCTCCGAGTGAAGCGGGATTTATACTTTCACCTGGCTCCGCTCTGCGAGCCTCCGCTGACTGCTTGCGCACCTTCCCAAACGGACGAGGCTTTTATACTTGTCGCATTCGCCGTTGTACTGTTCTTTGATACGACAGGGGGCGACGAGGAGTAATTGTCCTCTAAAACCATCGGGAATCACCGGTGAGAAGAAGTCATTTGCCGGTACAAGACTTCTCGCGTGATGAATGAGTTGATGAATTAATAATTTCTTTATGTACAAACTGATAAAAACAATCTTAAACTACTGGCTTTATTTCGCATCAGACACAAGACAACTTTAAGCAAATAGTGTATAAATAGTATCTAAATGAATTCTAATTATATTTTTATACAATAAAAATAGAAATAAAATAAAATAAAACCTACTTCAAATAAAAAGCCTTGGACAAACTATGCAAAAAAACTATGCATTGTAAAGCGTCAAAAAGCACCTGATGGAGTTTGAACTTCACATCAAACTGCTTCTGTTTCACACAAATGCCGGCACAGATGTATATGTTCGGCTAGAATCGCCCTGAACACTGAGTTTGCGCGCACTCAAAGCGAACTTCCGCCAACACTGCAATGACGTCATATTCGCCACGCGCACCCAAGCGAACTTGCGGATACGTCAAGTATAAATCAGCCTTGACGTGCTTCAAATGAGTTGCTGCCTTTGCCTCATAAACATTATAGCAAAAATGTATTGACCTCTTGTTATCGTTTATTGAGAACATTTATATCACGCAATAATTATCGTTATCGATTTATCGCCCAGCCCTACCGGATGATGGCTAGCTGGTACGGTTGCCACCTTCAGCGAGGCAAAATAAAGGACAGCCCTGCCCCTTTTTCCTTTGTCTTTTGTTGTGAGATTGCAGGGACAGAGGCTCCTCCTTGATGGGTGGGACTCCAGTGCTAATCATGGGCCGCAACTGGGACACTCTATTTAAGAGGCTCATGGATTTTGGCTTGTTCTCTTTCATTTTTGTTTTGTGTTCTTGTTTGAAGAGTGGGTTCTTGAGATTGTGTTCCCATTTTTGTTGCCACAACTCTACAAACCCCATTTCCAACAGCTATTTGATTTGTTGTTCCTTTTTTTATTATTCTTTAATATTTTGACCCTAAACATTATTTGTTTAAAACCACTTATGCTCAGGGCGTTTTTTTGGTATTTTCGCCTAAATTTGACATACTCAAATTCAAATGTTTACCCTGCACACATACAATGGAGGAAATGAAAAAAATGGTTTAATTGTAAAGAAAACCCTTTGAACTACAAAATATGAGTGTAATTCTTTATAAATAACATTACATATTTTTCAAATATTACAATAAACACAAAAAAACATAGGCGCTTTTGGAGTTTTAAAACAAATTATTTTTTTGAAATTCTGTAATTCAGGTTCTATTAGGTCCAGCTCTCTGCAATTTACTTTGTTTGATGCCACTAGATGCCAAAAAGTACCAGAAAAAATAATCTTTCAAATAACAGCTTCTAAACAGGAGTTATTACATTATAAGTGAAGCGAGTCAAATTGTCTATTTCTGCATCTAAATGTGTCAAAAGAGACATGTAATCTGACCAGTTGCAGTCCACAACCGAACACAGATCGCTATAACATCAGATGCGCTGGCTGAGAGCACTTTTGATATGGAGAGTGCGTGTTTTGCAGAAGCGCGTCTATTGCGCAATCTGGACAAAACGCTATATATCTCACGGATGGAAGCACGCAGAAACGTAAAAATTGTCTTGTTTGAAAGGAGAGATCCTAATCTAAAAGATAATATAGAGTATATAGATATTTGTGGTTGTTTGCGGCTGACTGAAGCAGTGCTACGAGTACAAATGTAAATTCGCGGTGACAAGGTGACAAAATTTTACATCGCGATTCTATTGAAGATCATTCGATCTGTGATTGTCACACAATGAAATAATCTACATCGTCCAATTCCTGAGAATGAGAGCTTTCTTGTGATATATGACTTGACTTTTTTGTGAAAAATATATAAAATACACATTCTTCGTAAAATTATTCGCAATGGTTAGGCGGAAATTCGTGTGTGGGACGAATACATTTCTAAGCTTAATTTTACTGCTTTATGAATATAAAAACCAAAATGTATGGTATTCTTTGTAAAGAAGACACTCCAAGCTTTCAAATTAACCCATATATGGGCTGATACCATATAAGGAAAGCTATGTAAATGAAGCATAAACAGAGTTTAACTGGTTTTAACTTTAAATAAATATATCTTCTTTATTGAAACTCATTTTGTGAAGTGTCCTCTTTATGTTGTGACTTTGAGCCAGGTCGTAACACACCCATTTATGACTCCCCGAGTTATTCAGTTACTCCAACAGTACATTGACTGAACTGCTGTAATAAGAGAACCGATGATGGAATGAACACGAGCAGAGCAGCTGATAGACTGAGCATGAGTGCTGCGAATGTACACGCCCACTGCTAATGGTTCTCGTGCTCGAGTCAAGAACCAGTTGCATCGGTTTTCGGATCACCATCCGATTTGAGAACCGATGAGCTGATGATACTGCGCATGCATGTAATTTCAAGAGGACGAAAAGCATGTTTTTCAAGTATTTTGCTGAACATCAGAAAGTGTGATAGTATAAAACATATTGAAACTTATGTTTATGTTTGTTCAGTTGATGATTCTGTTAGGTTATAGGATGAAGGGGTTTTTTATGATCTCGGTCAGGGATATTGGACCATAATAATTAAGACTCTATGTTTAATTGGAAGAAGGATGATTTATGAAATACCTGTACTGTAATTATAGTTAACGATGACACATCCACAAATTGAGTTTGTATTAAATAGAATCGATGATGAGCACGAGTAGAGCAGCTCATATACTGAACGTGCCAGCAGCGTACCGGTTAGAGCAGTTCTCGTTCTTGAGTCAAGAACCGGTTGCAACAGTTTTCGGATCACCGGTACACTGAACCGAGAACTGTTCCTTTCGGACACGTCCGATTTGAGAACCGATGAGCGGATGATGCTGCGCATGCGAGATTCAGCATGAAGCTGCTGAACATTACATAACAGCCTGTGACACCAGTCTGAACCGAACTGGTTCTTTTGGACAACAGATTGTGTGCTAATGCTATGAGCGCGGGTAAACCGAGGACTTGAATGAGGGGACCAATCTGGCGAAATCTACGTTTATTTAATAACAAATAAATCGTAATGGATTATGCATAGTATGTGGATCACACTTCTGCGCTGATGAGAAGTAATTAATTTATTCACTTTATCTTCAATTATATAAAACATCCTTGTTTGCACATCACTGCTTGTACCTGTATTTGGTTGCTTAGTGGAAAAACTTAATTTTAAGAAACTTGTCAGATCGTGGTGATGTTTTAACTAACTAAAGCAATGACTACAAACTTTATATATTTGAATATGTTGAATGTATTTTCATCCCGGCCCTTTACGATAGTCATTGCATCATCACGAATGACGTCATTACGTTATAGCGCAAAAGAACCGGTTCATTGAAACGAACTGTCCAAAAGAACCGGTTCGCGGAAAAGAACCGAACTTCCCATCACTAGATGTGAGCTCCAGATGTTTTAAACTGTGCAGGTTTAGTACATGCTGCGCTCGCGTGAAAGGGCTTTAACCACATGTGTTCTAGGGAGACGCTATGGAAACAAAGACGCCAAAATGCAATCACGCGCGAATGAGCTTCTCTAATACTTCTTATGAAATTTATTTCATTGTAATTGCAGTTAGTATTATAAACAGTGCAAAATACTTATTTGTTGATTCAACTATGTGTTGGCCTTTGTAAAATGCGGGGCAAATCGTGTCCCATATTGATTTGATATGAAACACATCATTTTAACATTAAATACGGAATGATTACGTATTTTGGTATGGGTGGCAACCCTAGTAACACATGTGATACTGATTTTTGCATTGAGATGAACTAAAGCAGCAGACAGGCTGAATAAAATGCAAGTTTACTCTCTGACATCAGGTGGCATTTACGGAACAGCAGAAATGCAGTGGTTACAATGGTTACCCCTGTGTACAATCACAACTTTGTGTTTCTGACACATGCTTGTCACAGAGAAGAAAGAAGTCAAACTATAGTCACATGTTCTCAAACAGCCATTCACAGTCTGTTTGTAGGTGAAACCGTAGTGGGTGCTCCTTTTGAAAATCTGCTTAGGCCCCCCAAAATGCTAGGGCCGGTCCTGGCTGCTCCATAATGATGTTCTAGTTGAGGTCATATGTAGTGTAGGTATTGCCCAAAAATAAAGTCAAGCACAGGGGCCCCCAGCCCAAGCCCTGCACTACATTTCCACCTGCGCCGTGAACGTGTACACAGCGTGTGGAAACATATTATTGTTTGTGTGTTGTTTAAGCAGACTCTGTTTATTTACTTTTGTACAATGTTCTGATGAATTTAAGTATTATATAGAGTATATATACTCTATATTGAGAGTTTGACATGTCATTTGTCAACCTCCAGCTCGATGGGATTTTCTCTGGGTTCTGATCGTGATTGGCAGCTTATGTGTGCATGTGATGTTTATGAGCGCTGCTGTGTCTTCCCTTTCAGATGCAGTCGCTACAATCCCATAATGCCCTGCTCAGCATGCTGGCTGCTGGAATGTCCTAAATGAGCACGGATTATGTGAGTGTCTCTCTCTCAGATTGAGAGTAAAGACGCAGCTCTGCATCCCTTTGTATCTCTGCTGCTTGGCTGGGTGCAGGAATGAACGCGGCGGTGGTGCACAAAGGATTCCTCAGGAAATATGGTAAGGTTTACACTTTCTCATTATTATCCTTTGCTGCCTTCTTTTTGTTTTTGGTTCTTATTTTGTTCCATAATGTTTTAGTCACATTTGTGTGCCACTCATTATGCTACTTATCAATACAGTTTAAAATTGTTGGTAACACTTTACAATAAGGTTCCATTTTTTAACATTAGTTAACTACAGTAGTTACAAACTAACAATGAAAAATGTTTTTTTCATTTTTTAAAGCATTTAATAATCTTAGTCAATGTTGATTCCAACATTTACTAATACATTATTCAAATCAAAAGTTGTATCTATGAATGTTATTTAATGGACCCGAGCTAACATGGACTAAGAATAAACAGTTGTATTTGTATTAACTAACGTTAACAAAGATTAATAAATACCGTGAGAGAGTATAGCTTATTGTTAGTTAATGCATTAAATCTAATTTTATGTTGCACAGATGGTTGGTGACACTGTACATTGTTTATATTTTCATTGTGCTCTTTTGGTTTTAGTCATGGTAGACTTTGTATACTTATAACTACTTTTGAAAGGTATTTGAATAGCTAATTTGATGCAAAAGTCACGAGCTTGACATTATGTTTTGCACTGCCAACATTCAGTCCAGAATGTCATACTACATTTAACATAAAATCACTAGCTATGACATTTCACAGCTTTTATAAAAAACAGTGTAGAATAACCGAAAATATGTTATTTTACTTATATAATAGGACAACATCTCTGTTAGCTGTCAATTGCAGTGATCTACACAACATGTCCATCGAAAAATGGATACCCATCATTATACTTTAACAGCAGTATCTTATCGTCTGACAGTGAGCTATCTGTTTCTGCTCTTTATCTGTTTCCTTCACAGCATAAAGTGTGTCAGCTCCAACTGTCCACATTGCTTCTACCCTCTGTACGTCTCATCTATTTAGGTCATATGATGATGATGATGGGGATGAAAATGACTAAATTCATAATGACTTAGTTTTAGTATGACAGAATAGCAGTTTCCCTACACAGCTATGATGAAACCTGCAGAAAAAAAAATGATACTATAAAACTCTCCTGTCTGCTCTGAAATATTTTACCTTTGTCCAGAAAAAAAACAACAAGCTTGTACTCCTAACCCTAACCAGCATACTGTCTAAAAAGGCTCTTCCAAGCTTCATTTGTGCCCTTATGACTTACTGCTGAAATAATTAATAAGGGAAAAAAAACACATGCTGAATTTTTGATAGATTTAATCTGTTTAATTTGTAATGGAAATTCAATTTTTATTTTTACGTTTTATTTTTTATTCATCACCATTATATTTTTAGGGTTAAATGGAGTATGAAATAGGGTAAGATAAGGGAAGGTGTTTCCCTTAAGAACAGTATGCAGTAGTTTAGCATGTGCAGGATGATGATGATGTTTATGATAATGCATCAGCCAATGTGTTATTAGAGTAAACAAACAGAAACAGTTGCTCATTTAGATCTCAGACCACAAAAAGTAAAACTATTCAAATATCTAATTTAGTTGAATAATTGATTAACTGACAGAATCCAGTAAAAGAGATTAATTTAAATATTTGCATATTTAATTGGCAATAACCTATAGGTTTTAATGAAATGCAAAGATGTCTTAAATGTAAATCTACAAATATTAAATAATAAACTTTATCAATAACAATAAATATTAAAATTTTAAAATAATAAAGTTAGTATAAATATGCCACTCAGGGCACTTCTGTGCCAAATCTGGGAGCTCGTTTTACCTCAATCTCAATCACCTTCCAATCACTGAATCTCACAAAAGTTCATATTCAGATGAAATTACAAAATTAAAAGTAGCCTAGCAGCCATTCATCAAAAGTGCTTTGTGGCATGTATTGTCAAGAGAAAGAAATTAATCATAAGGGTAAAATTCTGCTTGAGGTTTGCTTTTATTCAAATATAATATTAAAATATAATGTAAAATGTAATTCTATAAAAATATAATCTCTATCTTCCCTGTTATGTTATATTTCCCCTTTACAAAAAGGTGTGACGTTTCTAACATCGTACTTGTGGGAGTAACATGTTGAAAGTCTTTTTGATGATATTTAACTGAACAGAAGATTATCTTACTGTCTTTGAGTATTTCATCATTGTGACGAGGGTTCACATAATTAAATAGATAATGAAATAATTCAATTTCCTACAGCTCATACAGTAGATTATCAACACTAAGGTCATGGGTTTGATTCCCAAAAATGCATGAACTGAGAAGAAAAAAAAAACATACTTATGCTTACAGTATTTTGAGAATCTCTTTGAACCTGAAACTTTCAGCCTGAAGTGGAAAAAATATATTTTTTAGAAGGTTTGGCAGTAACATTTTCTAAAGGAATAATGCAATTTTCATAGCTTTTTTTAGACATTTTTTCTCTTTTTATTCATTTATTTATTTATTTTTTGAGAATGGGGAAACAGTGTGCTTCTGTTCCCTTTCAAGGGAACTTCGAACTGCGTCCTCTAGGGGTCGCTATGGGGAATGCCTCGTCGTGACACGTGTCTGAAGCATACATTGAAAAGACACCAACAACACGTTGGCCGGTGACAGCCATGAAGTCACTACCGGTGCAACTATAGTATAAATAGGCGCTGGGAGAACACATCATCCTCTTCTTCGTCTTCACTGACTGTTTTGTTTGAAGCGTGCATTTCTGTGGTAAGAGCGATCTCTATTCATATCATTATGGTGAGCACTAGCAAAGCGTTTAGAGGACGTGTGCATCCGTGTCGTCGTTATTTAACACCTGATGACACACACGATCTATGCATTGTTTATTTGGGCGAAGAGCACTCTCGCGAGGGGGCAATCTGCGTGCACTGTGAGCGTTTTCCAATGAAAAAGCTCCGCTCTTGTTTGTCTCTCTTTTCGAGGAAAGAGGGGCAGCCATCTGCTTCCCGCGATTCAGGACACGGCTATGAGAAGACGCCCCTATAGAGAGACGCGGGCCAGCTATCTCTCTATGGGTGAGACATCCTCTCTTAAGACTCCCTCCTTGCCATCTAAGCCTCTTCAGGAAATACATCTCACTTGAATGGCAGGGCATACGCAGTAGCAGCAGGTCGGGCTGTCGCTTCATTGCACACGATGGTGGTGCTCCAGGCATATCATATCGTTTACTGTGTGGAGACGTGCTGATATCGCGTTTGGTCTCATTCTGTATCACGTATCTTGTCAGTGTCTGCACTTGCTTGGCCATTTGTTGTGGAGAAAATAAGGAAAGTGTGTTCAAGCGCCAGCAGAAAACAGTGTAAAGAAATACTCTTTGAGAGAAGCAGTCTTTATCAGCGGAAGTTAAAAGCAGCTCGTAAGTGTATTTACTTGTCTCATTAGTGTGTAGTGCAGTTGTCGTTGCAAGGAAACACTTGTTTTGTTTACTGTGTGGAGACGTGCTGTTATCGCGTTTGGTCTCGTTCTGTATCTTGTAGTGTCTGCGCTTGCTTGGTCCTCTGTCCTATTACTTGTTTCACTTCTGTTTCAGTTTTTATAACCATTTCTTACTATGTGTAAGTAAGTTATTGTTTGTTTAACGTGTGTTTGGCAGTGTTATTTTTTATGATTACTGATAAACTACATCATTTTAAATAATTTGATTTGTATTATTTGTATTTGTTATTTATTTTAATTTTAGTTAAATTATGTCTGAATTTATTATGTCTGTATAGGTCTTTTATTAAGTTTTTAATTTAATTTAATTTGAGTTATTTTAATACTTCAACGAACTAAATGAAAATTAAATAATATATATTGAATTTATAAATGTGTATGTATATATATATATATGTGTATGTGTGTCTGGTTGTACACACACATATGCAGTATCTTGTAGAGTTGA